TTTGAGTTGTTGAGAGTAAAGTAGAACTAGTTATTAGTGTTCTAGGAGTTAAATTTCCCTCTTGCAGTTCGCAAATACAAACTAGTGGTGCTAAAATTTATTTGTACATTCTTGCTCGTACTTTCAAGCAAAATTACGCCAAAAATACTCAAATTTTTGAAAAATTATATATGATATTATTTCAAAATCTATTTTTAAGGAGCAGATTTCATCAATGGTAAAATCTCTAGTTTCATAATTGTAGTTTTAGGAAAACACTGAAAAACATTCAATTTTGCAACTTTACAAAAATCAGTTTTCAACGAAAATGAGATCTGCACCATTCTCGTAAACGCCCTTTACATTACGCAATCAAAAACAATTAAAACAATTTAAACCATTTCTTTTTAAACTTTGAAAATGCCTCAGTGGCTTCATGTAAAGTACTTCCCAAAACTAAAATATCGGTTTCAAATTCAAGAAGTCGCAACATCAGCCAGATCGATTAGGGAAAACCTATTTTGCAGAAAAACGGCTGAACACTTAAGCCCTTAAGAGTTCTTCACAGACGGACGGACAGAGACGTTTTGCCGTCATTAGATTTTTCGGTATCAAGGACCTACAAAACATGGATTTTGGCTACATTTAGTGTTAGAGGACTTTCTTTCTAAATTTAGCAACTGGATTTATTCCCTTCTTCGTTACCAAAGCCCTGTATTAAGAGTTTTTGTGCCGGAAATTCGCCGTTTTTTCGTGCAGCATTGCATACCTTTCTCTCTACCCCGTAGCGAGAATGTCAAAATTGATCAACACTGACCATTCCACTGCACTTGCATTATTTGATAATTTGATCCACTTCATAATTCTTATCAGCAACTGTCAAGAATGTTGTTGATACTTTTGAGATAATTTCAAAATGAAGTGTCGTCATATCTTTCAATTACGTTATTTAATGGAAGCTTCAAGAACGTCGTGTTTTTCCTGAAATATTGTGAAGATAAAAAAAATGTATTTATGTTTAAGAGCATCTAAAGTGCTCTCATCAGCATTTAATGATTGAATTATGGCATGAAATATCGATAAATAAATTCTCGCCTCTCATAGTTTCGGTAGTGCATTCATTATATTTGTCAAATTCCTCTAAGACTTCATAGTCAGGGCATCACCGTATGAAGTGAAGGCTCTGCCATATGTCAACTGCTTAGTCTTGCGACTGACATGCAATTCACTTGAAGAATAAAGCACCAAAATACTTGATGAAACTTGGAAGTTATTGTAAAAGGAAAATACACCCATTCCATGTCTTCATTTTTAACTAGCTGTTAACTTACCTTCATTGAAGTCTGAAAGTTAGCATAACCATTAGGTTGAGTTGTATTTCGTCCTACAGATTGGCCTACTAAATGTGTTTGAAGTTTGAATGCACTGAGACCATTTACCTGGGAGTTCAAATATGGCACCGTACAAACCGTACCCTGCTTCTCGTGTATTCTACGTTTGGGCAGTGTCCAATAAGTAACGAATTTCTTTGTTCCATCCAGAAGTACTGATTATTATAAATTGAAAATATAAATAATAAAGAATCATTTGAACCGACTTGGTAGGGCGAGGTGGCTAAGTGCGCGTGCAACATCACGCAGGTTCGACTCCCACCTTCGGCGTGGTCGTCTAGATTAGATTTATTTAGTCAAAAAACAGTAAAAACTGTATGTGACGTATAAAGGAGATCATGTGCGCAAGTTTTCTTGAGTTTCAGGAAAAAGACCGGTATCCTGACCAGCCTCGGGGTTGTGTAGTGCATGTAGTGTGTGTGTGTGTGTGTGTGTGTGTGTGTGTGTGTAAGGGATGAGGATAGGATAAGGAAGAGGTAGGAAAGATCGCGCGCAGTTCCTGGCCCGGGGTTTGTTAAGTTTTATTTTCCTCGGTTTGTTAGGTTTTATTATTACTACTCCGGCATTCACCTGGTGTTGATCGGAGAAACCACGGAAAACTACCGATCGCAGCAGCCGGCCGCTAGAATTCCCCTCCAGTTAGCGACTGAATTCGACCTCGCTAAGCGGCAAGTTTCGACAATCCTGCCACCGTCGGGACTCGAACCGCAGGAGCCTTAAGTGACTAGTTCGATGCCTTGATACACCTAAACCGGCAAGAAGGAACGATAGTTGAGAAACAAATGAGACGAGAGGAAAGAGGCAGATGAGTGAATAAAGAGATAAGAAGAATAAACGTAAGAAATGGAGGGATTGTAAAAATCCAGACGCACATTAACGCGTGTGATGAAATGGTCGTATGGTGACTTCGTGACAATCCAGAAATGAAAAAAAAAGGCTAGGAGGAACACGAAAGAGATCAGGATCGAAAACGAAGAGTAAAGAGATGTACAAACCGAAAGCAAGCAAGCGAGAAAGTGGTTCAGAATAAGAAAAAGCTTATATCCTCCCCCCAAAATCTCGCAAGCATAGATCACGTTCTTCATCAATGACCCGCGTACATTTAACCAGCATTGCTCCAGTCCTAAAAGAGTTGCTCCCCCAGCGGCCCGAGCCGTTTCTCCCACGAAAACACGCTGGCCGGCGGTGGCCCCTCACGAAAGTTAAGTGGCTCTACCCAAGCGCGTCCCCCCTCCTGCACTCCCCCTTGCACGGCCAACCCCCCACCCTACCCCTACCCGTATAATGGTTCAAGCACGTGTTCGGGCG